AATACAACAAACTTTTTTTTCAAAAAACAGTAAACTATAGTAAAAAAAAGTAGTATAAGACTGATAAAAACTATAAACTGGCATTTGTTATTTAGAGATAGTTTTCATATACTATCTGCTAACAAGCTTGGAGCTTATCATTTACTGTAAGAATAGTATTTGTTATTTAAAAATAGTTTTTATACACTATTTGCTAACAAGTTTAGAGTTTATCACTTACTAACAAGAAAATCAGCAGTTTATCTGGCTTTATATGTTTTATTACTTTCAAAAAAAAAATATGTTTTTTAAAAAAAAGTATAAAAATTATTTTTTATACTATTACCTACATTTAATAATATAAAAACTATATACTTAGTTTTTAGTTTTTTATTTCCTAAGTTATACTAAAAACTAAAACGTAGAAGGATTTAGTGCTATTAATTAAAAAATTTGCACATAAAATAGAAGACTTTTTACAACAATAAAAGATATTGATACTATACAATGGTAGTCATGGTAAGGCTATATATGGTAGTGATATCAATCATCAGATCTAATATTGATTGTCAACACAGGGTTGATAATCGACCCGAACATTGGGGGGCCACTTGATATACTCATATGCAAATAGTAGGGTTGGAGGCATGGCAAATTTTTGGGGCATGCTTTTGCAAAAGGCATGTCTCTATGCTCTGGGCATGCCTCTTTAGATATAAAAGGGATCTAATCAACTTACTGACAATTACCAACAAGTTTATTTTACCAATAGTTTATTTCATTAAAGCTTATTTTACAGACAAAAGTAATTCTGGCTAATATCATTAGAGTCATAAAAAAAAACTTGTTGGTGAAATAAGCTTTAGTAACTAGACTGTCAGTAAAATAAACTTGTCAAAGAATGACTGTCAATGAAATGATACAGATAATAATAAGATAAATTTGTATTTTAATTGGTTAATCGCTAAAATAGCCAATCATACATTAGCTATAGATTACATGACAGGGGCATGTCTTTTGGTTAAAGGGCATGCCTCCAACCTAGCGGACAGGCACCCATATGCATCAAAAACGCAATTTTTGATGTACGTACTTTACTCGTCCCCTTCACTACGCTCCGGACAATCACACCCTCTTTATAAGCACATTTTTTGAAGCAATATATATATCATATTTATTAAAAAAACTCTATATAATCACATTAAAATTAAAATTTTATAATCACACCTTTTTTGTAAAACAAACAGTATGCTTATAGAGGAGGAACGACTGTGCAAAGTTTTAATCATCACTATGTTGTCATGTGCACATGTCAGTATGTAATTAACAGATCTATTGGATCAGTTTCTTGTTAAAATATAGCAGAGAACAATTCTTTTTAATTTGGACACAATTCTCATAATGGTATCTTAATTCTTCTGTCTTTAAAAAAAAAAACAATGGCTACTAATACACGAGATATAGAATACAATGAATTGATCTTGTTTTTATTGTTTATTAGCGTGACGAACCTTTCTCCATAGACTTATCGTCAATGTTACCGACGCAATTTGGATCTCAAAAAAAGAAAACGACTTCTTCAGAAATTTTTTCGAAAACAAAAAGGAAGGATGAGGTTATTTATTACGAATAACTTTATTGTATAACTCGTACCAAATAAAGTGGAAGAGTTTGATATTGATTATATATTCGTACCTGACATCTTAGTCTCTCTTTACACAATAGCAGGAAGAGATCAAATTGAGCACGTCAGATCAAATAACAAAGAATAAACGTATAAAGCATGCACATGAGGATAGCGAGACTTCACATATTGATCGAGATGATGAACAAAGCGAAGAGGCAGATGATGATGATGATGATGATAACGAAGAAGTCAACGAATCCGATACCTTGCCTATTTCGCATGAAATTAAATTAAATGATCATTATAAGGTAGGTTATATAATATATATATATATATATATATTCTTTGCTAGATTCATTGATTCAAAATCGGCTATTCCTTTAATTATATAGAGCGTTTCTGCATTAACGCTTGATCCTGCTGGCGCACGGCTTATTACGGGAGGTTATGATTATGATGTAAAATTTTGGGATTTTGCAGGAATGGACTCTTCATTTCGTCCGTTTCGGACCATCAAACCATGTGGCGATCATCAAGTTAGTTACAAACTAGATTATTATTTATTCTATTGTTGATAATTTAATTAAAACTTATTTTATTTGTTATAATCTAGATTCATCACTTAGAATATAGCTTGAGTGGTGATCAATTTTTAATTATATCTGGTACAGCACAAGCAAAACTTTATGACCGTGATGGATTTGAAATGTAGGAAATATGTAAATGTTTGTTATTGTATAATAAGTTTCCGTTAAAATATTTAAATTATATTTCAATTTAGTGAAGAATATATTAAAGGCGATCCCTACATTCGAGACATGCGAAACACAAGGTGATTAATGTTATTTAACAACTATTTCTACGCTCTTTCTGTCCCAAATATTAATATTACTTTTATTTATAGTGGCCACATAGCTGCCCTGACATGTGGAGGTTGGCATTCGAATGATAGGCAGACTTTCTTTACTGGATCCGCTGACAGTACAATTAGGTATTGGAGTATTATAATATATTCACGATACGTATTTCCACCTTTTTTAAAGTATCCCTACTTGCACGCTATCTATCATATAGAATATGGGATGTAGAGAATAAACGCAAGCAGAAACATGTTCTTGTACATAAGTCTAAAGAACGCGGCGGAAGAAGTGCTATAACTGCGGCATGCTATAGTCCAGATTCAAAATTTTTGGCTGGAGGTGTGCTATTATTATTATTATCATTTCAATTCTTTGTCCTGCCGTTTTTCTAAATTTTTTATTTAATTCCAGCTGCACAAGATGGGAGCCTCTTTTTGTGGGGTGCCAATGGACCTTATACTCGTCCTTCACATGCAAGTATTTTTTTTTCTTTTTAATTTCATAATCAGTAGAGGGTTACATGTCATTTGCCCGACAACAATTTGCTCGACAGCCATTTTCTTAACAATATTTTCGAAAATATTGTTGGGAAAATGGTTGTCGGGCAAATTGTTGTCGGATAAATGACATATAACCTCAGTAGAGTCCTATGTCATTATGCTTATTTCATTTTGAAATTAAAGATGATTGAAAAAGCTCATCAACCATATAGTGAAACTTCTTCAATAGTATTTTCCAGAAATAATTGGTCAATGGTAACGAGGGGTGGCGATGATTGTGTAAAAGGTTAGTAATTAATAAAGCATCGGCTTCATAGTTGCATTAAAAATTTAATTCTGATTATGTTTCTTTGTTGACTAGTTTGGGATATACGTAATTTTAAAAATGCCGTAGCCCAGACCAAAGAGTTACCGTCTTTTAATGCAGAGACTAACGTAATATTCAGTCCTGACGAGCGAATGATTATTACTGGTATGAAAGATGTTATTATGAACTTTTTTTTTTGTTGCTTTATTAACATTTATTATAGTGATAATTAATTCACCTAATATGGTCTTTAATCATTTTATCGTAGGTACTGCTACTAAAAAAGGAGAAGGATATGGAAAATTAGTGATGATGGACCGTGAATCACTAGAGATTGTTCGCACAATGAGTAGGTTTCTTTATTATAAATTAGAAACATTTTTAGTTCGTACAATTAATTTATGATGCCCAATTAGGTATTACAAAATCCAGTGTTATTCGAGTTTTATGGCATTCGCGAATCAATCAGGTATAAATGACTTTAATATAGCGAATTATATTATTGTTACTTCGTTATGCCGAACGATATTTTTAATTATTTATTTTACAGATCGTTACTGGAAGTGCGGACGGATTGGTTCATGTATTCTATGATCCAGCTATAAGTGTTCGAGGCGCCAAATTGTGTGTTGTCAAAGAACCTAAGAAACGGGCTATTGATGACTATGAAATTAATCGACCAATTATTGCACCACACTCGTTATCAATGTTCCGAGATGATAGACCAAAGTCGACAAAGCGAAAGAGAGAAAAATTGCGCAAAGATCCTGTTGCATCACGTAGACCGGGTAAATATTAAAATTATTCACAAACACGAAGCAATCTTCAATTACTAACGATTTGATCACATATTTTAAGACCTTCCTGTTAATGGTCCTGGTAAGGGTGGTAAGATTGGTAGCAGCTTGACACAGCACATAATGAAGGAGTTGATAAAGGATACGACTAGAGGTAATTTATCTTTTAGTTTTGCCTTTTCTGCCTTAAGTCTGATATATAACTTAATTTTCACAGATGAGGATCCTCGCGAAGCTTTATTAAAATTTGCAGAGATATCCAATAGTAAGTTTTGCATATGTTTATATCATTATAAGATACTGTCAATCATAGATATAACGTGTATATAATTTAATTTTAAACTCAGATGATCCACAATGGATTGGGAATGGTAAGATATTTTGTA